GAGACAGAGGAAGAACACTGGTTATAAACAGATCTGTGACAAATTAAAGGAAAAACTCTGGCTCTGTTGTGCTGTGGGGGAATTTTTTCTGATATGGTTTGGGTCTACATGACCAATGTGGAATTATTTGCTTTTCCTTTACTTTTACTTTTTTTTAAATCTGTTTTATTCTCTTTATGCTGATTCTTACTTTTTGTGAGTATATTTTGTACCAGGGTGTTCTGACCTGATATGTCTCGCCATAAGATAAGTGGATGGAATGTACGTAAGGAGATAGATAAGTGGTACACGTTGTCATGTGACGTCTCTTTTATCAAACAATGAGCTAAGCCTCTGAATATGTTATCACATAAATGACCTAAAAGCTTGTTTATATATATATATATATATATAGGGAAGGCTTTCACACATTTAGTTAGACAGGAAGGGAGGCCACTTTGAAAAGCCAAAACAGAACTCCAGCTACACTCCTGTATTTCTCCATCCGAAGAACTTCTGCAAATAAAATTAATCTGCTGTGAAAATCCTGTCTCCAGATCCATCCATCCACCCTTTACATTTTTCTGAAGCATTATTCTGGTATAAACCACAACACCCCTTAGAAGTAAAGGTTACAAAGTTATTCTAACTGATATTCTGATGTGACATGATGATCCTATGATGGAACGTTTCCAGCCTGATGGAAGTGGACTCTTCCAGGATGATCCCGCTCCAATCCGCTCAACAAATGGTTTGATGAGGATACAAATGATGTTAATCTTATTTTATGGCCTTCATAGTCACCTATGAACATGTTACAGTGCTCACCACTGTCATCAAAATGCCAATCTAGGTACTATCCTTTAGAAGAAGAGTGCTCCATCCGTCTAGTACAGCTCCAGTTGTCAAATCTATGCTAAGGTGCATTGAAGATGTCCTGGTGGCGTGTGGTGACCCCGCACCTTACTAAGACACGTTGTTGTATTTTCCTTTAATTTGTCTGTAACTTCTGCCTTGGCGCTCACACCAACATTCGCAATTTGCACACGTTTTTGTGACCTTATGCCATCACTTACCTTAGGTAAAAAGTAGAACAGAGGGCCAATGAGAAGCAGCACAATCAGGACCACCAGACTTGTGAACAAACCGGAAAGCTAGCAAATTAAACCAAGCAGAAAACTTAAAGATCAGTCACAATCTGTATGTGAAAACTGAATACAACCAAGCAGTATGATATGTCTGCTGTGTGTAAGGTCTTACTGGTTACCTGTGTGTAACCACCAGCACTTTCCAAAATGTTAGTGGTGGCCAGTGTAGCTGAACTTGGAAAGCAGGTAAACAGGGAAGATACTGTATTGGAAATGCCATGTGCTAACAGCTCCTGTAAGAAAAGTAAAAAAAAAAAAAAAAAGTATGCACCCAACACTCAAAAATTTTGAACCATTTAAGACTGTAGTAATAAGTATGGTGATTATTATTCAGCATTTCAAGTACTTTGTTCATCCAATAGGAGGTTATTTAATGATAGACAATTTACTGTCATTTTAAATTTATAGTAATTTCACATTTTGGGTTATTCTGATTATTAATCTTAATAAAACTTGATACTTTTATGCATTTTATTATACTGTATTTTCTCTCTTTATCTATACTGTTTTCCATAATACATTATACCACAAATATTTATAGTGACATTTGTCATTCTGGACTTTCGGGAGTAAAATTGTTTATGTATTCGTAATCTAAAGAAGTTGTGTTGCGGTCTCATCAAATAAGAAACATTTTAGAAACCTAGAATCTGACACAAACCTGGCTTTAAATGATTAAAAGCAGTCATACCAAACATTAATACTGTATTATACTGTATGTGATAGTCTATGATATTTTGTTTCAGTGAGATTTACCTGATTAGGGTGAATAGAATAGCCATGCTTATCAGCGTATATCATTGCTAGTGACACAGACACAGCATAGCCTACAAATGTGATAGCAACTGTGTCACCAGCTATATCTGGCACTGTGTGCAGAGCAGGCAGCCGAGGCCGAGGGAACCTACAAGACAGAACCAGAGGCAAGGAATTTGTAAGGCCTAGTTTTAGTATTCAATTTAAAACAATATAAACTATTTCATACAATACATATTCAGATGTAGTATTCAAAAATAGAACTAATGGTTACCCTGCTGGAATGTGACCCACTATTTGGACATCATATCTGGAATCCAGAGAGGAGGCATACGCAACTCCTGTAGCAATTATCACCTGTGGAGAAATAGAATAAAGCACTGAAGAATAAAAGATAAATCAAAAAACATTTTCTTTTCATATAGACTGTGATGTTGTCTCAAAGTTGTCTCAAGTGGCATACAGTGAGAATTTCCACAGGAATGGGAGTGCACAGGCGCTGACGAAATCGTGTGTTCACTTCCTTAATGGGAACGAGCATAGCTAGGCAGAGCAGCGAGATCAGCAGCTCGGCGAGGTTAGTATGGGGCAAGTTCTCCATCACCGAGGCCAGGGTCTGTGGGATAGAGTTAACAAGTCATATGTTGCCAGTGTATACAACTTCATGGTAAATTGCCAGACATTTTGTCATCAAGTCACTAAACTGGAATAAATGCACTCAGTTCTAAATTGTTTCTTATTTCTTGTATACAAAGCAGGGAGGTTGCTCTAAATGGGCTAGCAGGGATAGGCACACACTGATCAATCAAACAAATAAACATTGCACAAAAGGGCAAATGACAGAATCACAAGTTTATTGGTTTTTTGTCTTTCAGTTTACCTTATTTGGTATTCGGAAGAAACACAGCATGAACCCAGTACAGCATTATGGACTTAATTCAAAAAATGTTTTGCCTCACATTATTCTTATTATACCACCTCATGAGACCTCATGATATAGTGCACTGCTCAAGCCTAATAGTTTCATTGTTGACCTATCGATATATATTAGATTTTAGTCCTCCCTGATATTTAATATCACAACCCGTCATTACTGATAATGTTATAATAAGTATTCTAATAACTCGACAGGCCTCATTGCCACTCACAAACCTTGAAGAGGGAAAAGGTGCCCGTGTGGCGAGGGAGCCGCAATCCCAGCATGTTCTGCAGCTGAGAGACAGTCACATGAAATGCAGCAGCGCTGGTGAATGCCTTAACAATGGGTTCTGATAGGTATGTGGAGAGGAAACCCAACTGCAGACCAAACATACAAAGCTGGAAGTGAAAGCCATAGAAACAAGTGACATTAGCGTTCCAGAACACAATCAAGCTCAGCAAAAACAAACCCAATACACAAATTAAATCTGTTTTTAATACACGTGTCACATGTATGAATTACTGTCAGATATATCGGGTACTTTCTTACCATCATCACTCCTGACAGGAATGCTATGGCTGAAGCCACCCCGATCCTCTGATCTTCGAGCTCTGCGACCTCTGGGCTACTGCAGTTCAGATCAGGAGGAGTCGGCACCAGCTGCTCCACCACCGTGCCGGTCATCAGACTCACTACTGCAAAAGTACCTGTACCGGCCCATACATAGTCAACATTAGGACTGAGTGCATACAGGGAGGAATACATACAGGAAAAATACAAGAAAAAGTGAATATATTGTATACTGGGAATATTTTTTTTTTATGTACACAGATACAAATTTCACTTCTGAATAGCTACAGTGAAAAAAACTATGATGAGAAATGACAAAATTTACACTTCAATACCTGCATTCACACTTACTGAGTTTTATATGTACCGTTTAGAATGTATATTCATCTCAATATGCACATCTAGAAGTCATCAGTTTTTTTAAGCTTTTGTTTCTTTTCTTGATTTGTGCATATAGCCATTTATAGTGCAAATTATTTCCCTGTGCAGTGTCATGAGAGTCATAAATCTGTAATATCCATAGTTAGCCTTAAACACAGTAGTAAAACCGTAGGCAATATTGGTTAAATATGTTAGTTAAAGCATAGTTACTCTGAGGCACTACAGGAAAACCATGGCAGTATCATGGTTACCATATAGTACCATAGTAAAACCATAGCTAATGATAGTTAACCATAGTGAATTTTCCTAAGGGATGTCTAGCCCACTGCTGCTGAAAGTTGAAAGGTTTTTTTTTTTTTTTACCTGTGGAGACATGACGTCCGGTCCCGAACAGCATGTAGAGGACTACAGGGAAGAACGATGTGTATAGGCCATAGATCGGAGCCACTGATGTCAATAATGCAAAAGCCATTCCTGGTACACAAAACCACTGGAGTGAGTAGTGCTAATATTCATCTCAATTTTACAGCATAATAACCGCTTTGCTTTGTGGAAAATTAGGGTAGTCTTTTTGTGGCACATCAGATTCTTTTTCACATACATCAAATGAGTTGTCAGACCTACAGATGCATTCAGTCTATAAAAGATCATATAGTATAAGACAAGAGCTCTTAAAAAGGGGTCCATGAAGTGAAGCAATAAGGTCTGTGATATTTTTTTTTTTTTATAGTAGTGGAAATCATAATCCACCATTATTAAATTATCAAAGTACAGTTATTATACTTTTTTTTTTTTAATTCTTATTAGTCGGTTTGACTGGTCAGTTGAATTCAAACCTCAATAATTCAAAAACATGCAGGTCTATAAATAATGTCACTGTGGCCCTAGCATGTTCTGCTGGTGCAAAGTTTAGGAATAAAAATATCTATGGCTCCAATAAATAGCTAGAATATTTTATACACATTTAAATAATGACCTTAATGTTTAAATAGCTGAGCAGGACATAAAGTTCATAAAAGCAATATGTTCTATAGGGGTCAGTAGACCTTATTTTACTCATTTTATTTTAAAACAGGCCAAAATTGCATAGGCTGAGTAATTAATTTAACTATTTATTAGGAAAGAGCGTCTCAGCACCACGTGATGACGTCGCTTCAGTTTGAAACAAATTGACTATCGGCGGTTTTACGAGTTAACTAACAGAGAAACTGCGAGAAATTTAGGTCTAACGAGCGTTGGTGTTCTCGGGGGACGGAGGTGGGAATCGAACCTCAGACCCCAGGGATGCGAGGCAAGCGTGCTAACCGCTCCACCACCGTTCCCCGACTACAACAGCGCCGCAGGAACAGGCGTTAAGTTGTTGTAAATCTAAGTCTGAGTCTGATCACCATCGCCTCATATTGTTCAGTGCTGAGTTCCAGTTTGTCCTGTCAGCCGTGCTGCAGGAGTAACTCTACCTTGGGGAATGTGTAGAATCCCGACTGTCAGCCCTGCCACTGTGTCTCCTAAAATCCATTTCCTGAGTCTGTATTTCGGCAGCCAGCTGAAAATCGGCATCCGCTGCTTGAGCAGGTGGAGGCAGTGGACCTGAGAGCAGCGGCAGCGCGCGCACACTCTCTCTCTGAAGCGCTCGCGCGGTTTGGCCTCGGTACCGTACGTCTGTCTGAAACGGTCCTCTGTGTAAATGTTCCTGTACACTGCCACAGACGCGCTCATCCTGTCCTCTCAGTCTGTCTTCCTACATCCACTGTAACGTTGCTCTAGAGCCGTTAGGATGCATTACCTGTCCATGGGCATTCTTATATATATAGCTGTGACAGGTTTGACAGCAGGAACCATTGTGTTTTCCTGTCGAGTGCTTTGAGCCAATTGACAGGCTCAAAGCGGAAGGGTTTTTTTTTTTCTGTAGCTGAGAAGAATCACTTTGTGGAGCCTTTTTTTAAACAACTTGATTTGGTGGACTCACATAAAGGTGTGCTTGTCCAATTTCAGCGATGATGTATCCTCTGGGTCCTACTGCGAAACGATTTACAACAAGGAAACCCATGAGGCATGTTTCCTCACCTTCAGCACGAAAGGCGCACACATACACACACACACACACACACACACCTAATCTAACCATAGCCTTTACCTCTCTACCAAAGCTGTACCAATAACAGCGCCACAGAACTAGTACTATATTATAAATAATAGTATAATAGCCTTTTAAAGGCACAATATCAACATTAATAGTGCTATGCCTAGAATAATAGTACTGTATACACACCAACAGTATTGTGTTATACCTGCACTGATAGTATCATAACTACGAGTATTGTGCTATAACTACACTAATATTAACGTCAAATACCTAATAACCACAATAGAAAAGAGTGACCTGCTAAATGCTATAAATGTAAATGTAATAGTACTATATGGACACTAACACTACTATACCTACCTACCTACCTACCTACACACATACACACACATTACCCATGTCATAGACTTTAACTTATCAGTGCACCATCCTTCTTTCTTGTGTGACAGACAGGAAAAGAAGTGTACAATGTGTACCTGTGTTTGAGGCCCACACTGGGATCAAAGTGCTTTTGTTTACAGACCGAAGGTGTAACTTCAAACCATGTGCATTTAGCAGTTATTAGAGTCACTCATTTCCTGAGGGGGATAGATTGCTCTCTCAGGCCCTTTTATCAGTATTCTGCTCAGAAGCAAAGCAGGTTTTAGGGATGTAATCATATAGGTTGTTCTTGCCTCACTGATCAAACTGCAACTTGACTCTGATGAGTTTGTATTGTCCTTTTTCACATTGACCGTCACTGAAAAGGCAGTGAAAAATGGTTGCTTTACAACATATATGTGTGCGTAGGATGAGACATTGCACTTCTCTAGTTTTGAACCTCTCTAGTGTAAAACATATTAATAATTTAAATTGCGTAGAACAAAAATTAAACATATACACCTTGAAGTTGACTGTTTTCCGATAACAGCATGTCCCAAAGTTTTTATCCTTCTTCTACCACAGAAATGTGCCAGTGATTATACTTTTTAATTTTTTTACTGAATGGCATGTCATACTTTTTAACCATTTATATTTACATTTAATGTTGTGGGATTGCAGTGATCCAAGTTACTTATGTTATGTGCGTTATAGTAGTTATAAACAACCGTTCCTTGACCAGCTTTTCTTTTTTCTCTTTCTTGAAGTTAAAAAGATGCAGCTTGTCATGTTACTGAGAAACCGGAAAACTGACTGTTACGGAGCGCTGACACTGGAGACTCGTTCCGTAAATGTTAAATACATGTTTAACAGAAAGCTTCACCAGATCAATGACTATCCATTTTTCCTTTCTAAATAACTTTTGATTAATCTGCTTATTGTTAGCCTTAGATTATGTGGAGCGTTCGCCATACAAGTCCCTGTTTCGGTAGAAATGAGAATGTTTTAGAATGAGTGCATTAATATAACTATTGCAGTCAGAGCTGCTGTTATAGAAAATGAATCAATACCTTCTCACCTCTGGTATAAATGGATATCATTTTTTATGGCCTATCCAAAGCCATTTTGATATTTTGTCCTATTACTGAGGTTAATAATTGTGATTAATAAATATTTCTATGGGACCTTGATGTTCCACCCTTATATGAATGCCATGAAACTGGAGTTTCTGTTAACATCATTTTCAAAGGAATTAAAGGAAACTGAAGCTTGAATTTCAGGGTGATCGTTATGGAGCTCACTAGACTTCATCACAGCCAACAAATCTAGCTGCTTGTATAATGTACATTTAAACAATGTCTGCAATGTGTGATGGAGATAACAATCTCATATGTACACCAACCTGATATGAAACAAAGAGTGAATACATAACATATTCTGGTAAAAGTCCAATGTTATGCTTCATGAATGAACTCCTCCCAATAATTGTTATTGTGTGCTTGGTGCTCCGTGCAGAAAGCCATGCTTTCGAGCTGAAAACGTCATGACTGGCATCTCAGCTACTGTCCACCAGAGCAACCGGAAAGGGCTGGCTGATGTATTGAGATAATACTATTATTGCAATATGAAGTCATAATATTAATATAATATGGCAAGTGTGAAGTGACGTGATGTGTAATATTACAATAATAGTATGAATAATAATAATAATAATAATAATAATAATAATATATGTACATCTAATAGATACCAGATCAGTAAGAACATGTACAGAATTAGGTTAAGCTGAAGTTCTTCTACAAACGTTGCTTCTCATGTGCTTCGGTTTCTTCAGCTAAAATACCAGAAAGGCTTGATTATTATTATTATTATTATTATTATTATTATTATTATTATTATTATTATCTATTTATCTATTTATCTATTTATCTATTTATTTATTATTTATTTTTATTATTATTTATTTTATATTTTTATATACTGTTAATTATCTAAAAAGTAGGATATTATTTAGTATTTAATTTTCTTTACCAAAACACGAATGTTTCTCTGGAACATTAATTTTTTTGGAAAATAAAATTTGTCCCTTATAGCAAATATTATCTTATATGAATAGAGATTTTTATAACAATGTATGATAACGTATAGGATTTTAATATCACTTCGTATACCAGGGTATCACTAATTTTATACAGTATTTTGATATCCAATAGATTTACATCTATGTGAGCCAGTACAGACTGTGCAGTCCTACTGAAGGTGAAATGCCTCAATCACACAACAGGTACTCTTTAGTCTCAGTGAAGAAGGAAATTGAAATGTGACACCTCAGATGGACTTGCTGTGAATTGAGGTGACTGCAGACTGTATTATCTGTGATTTCCTCTTTTTTCACTATATTATTCTCATTACATAGTAAAAACCACAATGTTGGTTTTTTTTTTTTTTTTTTTTTTAGATTCTAAAGTTATAACTGTTAACAAAAGTTGCACAAGTGTTAAATATCTTCCAAAAAAACAAAAAAAAAGTTAATTATATCTAATTTTGGCAGTCATTTCTTTTCTCAGTGGTGCCACACTGATTTAATGTGCTGATTTTGTTTTAAGCTTATCCTTGCAGAATCTCGAGATCTCGAGTGTTATGGAGATGCTGTGTAACATGAAGCGCTGTGTTTAAGAATGCAGCTATTGTGTTGATCAGCTCTAGAGAATTTATGGACACACTGGTGGCGTGTTGCGTCTGGTGGCTGTTTAAACAAGATATTAATCAGCGGTAAAAGGAACAATGCGCTGAATAGAAGAGGATATGGAGAGTTAAGCCGGGCTAGCAAGACAAAGTCCAAGCATTCCACTATGGGTTACTAAAACTTGAACAAAAACAATATAAACAGACTGACAGCCTGATTTGTGTCGGCTGGTGTTTATCTACCGTCTAATTTAGATCTCTGTCTGTAGGCACTTAACATGTTTTTGAACATATTTTTTTGGTGCTTCATACTTGTCTTTGAATGTATTACTACAATGTGGCAAGAACTTTTTTTTTGCACCTGGTGAACATTGTGAGCATTTCTTTCAGCCACAAAACAATACATAATCACGAAGGGAGACAGCTTCATGTGTGTTTATACACTTAGAGGGATGAAGATGTGTGCAAAGAGGGCAAATTAATTATGAGTGTCTCCATGCCTTTGTGTCTTATCACTCTCCTTCTTACATAAACATTTATTTCTTTACAAAAATATCTGCCTCATGCTGAGCGTGTGTCCTGGTCCCCTGGGTCACGAGTCTCTGTTTGCTTCATCACTCCATTCTTCTCATTGAGGGAGGGGTCATAGGGATCTTTTAATACTGTAGTTCCTCTCATTGTTCTTAATCTTTTTTTATGGGCTGCTGGTGCTGACCAACCGTGGTATGTCCTTTAGTTCTGACCTCGTCTAGGAGATTCGTGCTCGCCTTCTCCCTCTGTCTCCATCTCAGCCACCTCTCCCTTCCTGTTCCGTCAAGTGTGTGTCTCTCCATCTCTTTTTATGGTCTCTCAAGATGAATTATTTTCTCAGGAGTTCATTAGTTTTCACTTTATCTTTTCAAGCTAGGGTATTGTTATGGGCATAAACATTTCCTTAACTGTGCTGTCTATTCTATTGCTGATTTTTTTTTTTTTTTCTAGCTGTGCTACTGAGTACAGTTCACCCTCCCAGTGACTGTCGGATGTTTTATCTCTAATTTTATGCTAATACAGCCTTATTATGAGAGAAGACTAATATACAGAAATCTGAGTTTATGCCCAAAAACTGTTATTTCATTTTGTCATTTATTTGAAAGTTTGAACAAGTGTATATATAGCTGTTTGAGAAAACCTTTTATAAAATTCAAGTATTAA